CTGATCAACACAAAAGTAGTTTAGAAGCACCTAAGATGTTATCATATTACATGCTGTATTACTTACTATATTAACTACAAAGGTTCTCTTGCCATAATTTTTTCTTACTTTGTAATTCCTCTGAAATTTCACAATAGGTTGTTCAACCTACTCATGGAATGTTGGTTTCATCAAAATTTGTATGCAAAAGCATTCCAACAAAGGGTCTTAATGGAGATTTTTTTTTTTAAAACCAAGCCGGTGAATGGTAAAAGGAAAAAACCAAAAAGAAAATGAAAAAAAGGGGCCTTTAAAAAAAAAAAATGTTAATGCAATCCCTTCACTTACCACAAGTGAAATCCAAATCATAAACATCAAACCAAAGCTGTTTTTCATTAGACTCAACTGATTCATAACTAAGGTTTCAGCAGTAGTCTCAATAATACTGTTTTTGACCTGTACGAAAATCCAGTAACTACTATTATTACCCTCTACCACTTTCTCTTCAGTTCTTACATTCAATTAGGACATCTGATCCAAAGCATGACTCAAAGAAACTGAGCTGTTGGTCTGTGAGGATACAGCCACAAACACTGCACAAAGATTTGAAGTTAAGACTCTGACCAAATGGACATTCCAAACTTCACTGGCAGTTGATTAAATAACCATACCCCATTCTACCACACAAAATGAAGTGAAGGTTAGGGAATGCAGGCCAATACACATTCCAGTCTCAGCACTGATTTCTCTTTGTTTTATGAGTTTGACTCAGTTATGCTTAAAAATAGCCAAGTGAATTCTTTTTTTTTTTTTAAACTAGGCCAAATTGCCAAAGGCACTTCTCCCTACATCCAAGAATGTGCATGCAAGGGAATTTTCTACAATAAGGTTTGTTTGTTCAATTTTATTTTCAATTTGATGTTTAAATAGCAAAACTTCAAAAGTACAAATAAGAGATACCTTGTCTCAATAATAGGGGACTTAGTTCTCCTGTTGCACAAATACATGTGAATGTTCTCCATTTAGAACTAGTTTTATATAACAAAAGATAATGCAAGCAGCAGAATCAAAGGGCAAGAATAGAGACACTTTCTGAGATCTTAGACATCATCTTTGTTAACCTATTTTCCCAGGTCAAAGTCCTGGGTGTAAGAAAGAGGTGCACTCGATGTCCTGGATGTCCATGAATAGCCTGATGTCCGAATAGGAGAAATCAAGGGGAAAAGTCACTTAGTATCCACCTCTCAACTGCTGGCCCCAAGCAGACAGTCCCTTGAGAAAAAGGCGGTTCTGAATTCCCTACACTGGATTCATGTTTCGTTGTACACCACAGTATGGGACAGGTGTGTGACGTGCAGATACAACTGCAAAGCTGACTCTTCAGCTGAGTAAGCCAGAGTTGGAAAGGCCCTTCCTGCAGTTTGACTAGAAAGTGAGCTTGCGTCACTAACTCCAGAGGAGCTACTAGAGTGACCCCAGATCTCAGAGGATCTATAAGCAGTCATCAATTTAATCAGGTGTCAGCCACTTTCTGCTGCCCATAAGGATCTTGGGGTTCCATATGTGGATGGCGCAGATGGAGTTCAAATTCCTCATGAAATTCTTCTAGAGAAGCAATTCTTCTACAAAGCTTCAGAGTGTGTAAATCAAATTAATACCCCTGTTGTTAGGATGACTGTGATTGCTAATGAGCTCTGAGGAGGAGGCTAGTGTTTTGTAGCACAGACCTCACTCCTTTCTTAAATTTACTGTTCCATCCAAGAATGCCCAAAGGTTTTATTGTGTTTTCTTGGGAAAACCTAACAGGCTCTAAGGTAGCCAATAAGCAACAAGTTAGAGCCACAAATCTTTCTTTGCACTTTACTAAAAGCACATGTTAGAGTTAGTTGTTCACATCTTTCCAGCTCAATCAACCAATTGAAACCTCAAAGAGTAGGAACTGAACCTTGCTTTCCTCTATACCTAATGTTGCCTTGAAACAGGCAAAGGATCAGACAAAGGATCTATGCTATATCTTTTGACTACACTTGCATATCTCTTGTGTGTGCTCTTTCCTATCTTGTTTTAGAGTTTAAGAGTTTCTTTTACTCCAGGAGAAATATCATTTCCTCACTTTGTATCAACACAGGAAGTTCTGTGGTTGAGAAAACTGTGTAACGGCACAGAGTGGAAGCACATGATATGTGTGGGTGCAATGTCTTGAGGTTATAATTCAGTGTAATTCATATGTGCCTCCATCCCTGGCTTTGTACATTACTCTGCACACACAGTTTTAATCCTGGTTCTTTCTGTCAAACATTATTCCTATTCTCGCTTCTGACTGTATTGGATTCAAGGACCTGTATTAATGAGAAAAGAGTTTTCTGACTCTATTATCAGTGCAGAAAAAACACTGCTCTGTCATTAGTGGTCTTTTTGGTAAGGCTGTATGACAAAGGTAGCAATGTGCTAGAGAGGATGTGGACATTCACTGAATGGCTGGAATTTTAAAGTCTATTGAAAATAGATGATGAGTTCATAAATCTAGTATTGCATAATTAACTGTAACCTTGCAATGGGCTGTATATACTTATTTTAGATAACTGAAACATCCAGTGCAGTGGCTTTGGGGAGTTTTAAAAATATAAATGCCTGAATCCATACATTCAGCTTCCAATAGTCAGGAGTAGGCCATCAATTCTATAAACATTACAAGAATTCTGAAGTTTAGCTAAGGTTGTGAACTGCTGTTCTTAACATTTAATTCTCACTTCTTGTGATACAAAAAGTTAAAATTTTGAAGTCATTTTCTTTAAGTCAGACAATAAGTGCACTGCATGAAAAATTTCTTGATAGGGAGAAAACTAGCAATTTGGGCAAGACAGTTATTTGCCATTCCAACCCTACCCCTCTAAATGCTAACAGAACTTCTCAGTCATTTTGACAATCCATACATTCACTTACTACCAATGTCCCAGAAGAATTTGAGGACCACCACTTGGCTGGTATATCTGGCTCCAAAGACAATCAACATTTCACATGACTATCAGCCCTCAAACTTTCTCAGTTCTGTTGTCAAAATGGTTGTCAAATGTCCTGAGAGACAGTGGCTTCGAGGCTTTTCAAGGATCTAACAAACGGATTTTAATTTTTAAAATGGCTTCTTTCTGCCCACTAATAGAAAATTGGATCAAGAAGATGTCTGTTGACACTATGGAATACTATCGAGTCTTAAGGAAAGATGAAATAATGACATTTACAGCAAAATGGGGTAGTTCAAGGAAATTGTGTGTAGTAAGGCAAATCAAGATGAAAGAGACAAGTACTGGATATTAGCATAGTAAATGATTTGACAAAGCCCAATACAAAAACAAACGGATATCACAACAAAGTGAGGGTTGTGAGGCTATTAGGGATGGGAGTGGGAAAAATATAAAGTGGTTGCTTTGCTGGAGATGAAAATTTTAAAAATGATTAAGGATAGCACATGTATTATTCCTTTCCTTTTCATCATAAAGCTCTACCTAGCCTTTTTAATCTCTAACCTGAAAAGTCAGAAGTACATAGTGACAGGTTGCAAATATAGCTTAACCACTCCTCACTCCGGGTCTCTCTTTCCCACTAAGGAAAACAAAGTGAAATAAAAACCAAACAGAAAACTAACATGGAAAACCAACCCTAGTGTTTTACTATTGTTAATTAATACTCAGAGGAGAATGAATACACTGGGGAATGGGATTCTAAAGGTTATCACCAGTACCAGCAGACATAGTATTGCCATGATTTTCCACTGATTATTCTTTATGCGGAGGTAGACAGATTCTTTACCATGGGTTTTCCCATCAACCAGCCAATCTGCATGTATTTTCAAGTTCTTGATTTCAATGAAGTACAAGACTTTGAGCAGCACTGAGGTTTCTGAATCTTGGCAGCATTCCAGTTTCTACTGGGGAAAAGCCAAAGTGATAGACAGACTTGGGCCTCTCCTTGCATGGAATTTACATAGGTCACTTTAGACACAAGGTTGAAAAGGGTTTGCCCAGCTCACTAAAGTAAGTTTGTGTCTAGAGAGCAACTGCCCCTTGAACCGTGTTACTGGTCTTAAATCATCATTTAAAGAAATGCTTGAGAGGGAGTATTTTTCCTTACTCAAAATATTTCATGTTATATTTCTTAACATATTTCCCATTCTAGAGACAGTTCTGTATGACCGTTTATTGTAGAGTATAAGCCTCTAGGCAATAAAGTTAACAACACATAGTTCTAAATATCATAGAACACAGAAACACAGAAATCACCTATATAGATGGAAGCAGTGAGAATGCAGGAGAATGGAGATATTTATTTTTGCAATGAAGTATTGCCTAAACTACTTTCATGCTTCTAAACACATTTTCAGACAGAATATCACCAGCATTGCAACATATTCATTTTTATAATTTTATTTTCATGAAATATTTTATGATTTTCATTCATTCACCATAATTTTCATAATAGTTATTGGGAATCAAAATTATCTTGCTACTGTGAGACAATCTAGTAAAAGTACTTTACAAATCTGTATATATTTTTGAAATATTGCAAACTTGTGAATGTCTAATTTTGAAGATTATGTAAGTCAACTACTGACTGAGAAATAATTGAGAAATATAGTCCACTTTGATAATCATTCTGCTAATTGTCAAGAAGAATATAAATCAAAATGTGAAAGGAGAAAGAAACAAAAATTAAATAAATAAAAGTCACACTTCCTTACCTGAAAAATTTTCGTGCTTAGGCTTCTTATTTGGTAGTGATAAGATGTGTCTTTTCAAATAAATAAGCAGTCTTCAGTGTTTTTATAGCAGTAGTTACTACAGAAATTATACTTCTTTTACTTCTTGTCTTGAAGGGTGAACAAAATAAACAAACTGAAAATACTACAATGAATGGTGAATGATGAAAGATTTACAGTACAAAAAACAGTGTAAAAAGGAAGACAAGTTTAAATATTGTTGTGTAAGAAAGTGATGAAAATAATACAAGAATGAGAATAAGTAAAATGATAGGCTGGAACATCTGGGAAAGTAAATGCAAAGACAAAAAAAAGAGTTAATTAATAATAATTTTTAAAACTTAAGTTTATATCAACAAATGCAAGCACTGTTTGAATTAAAAAAATCAAACTGTATCTTAAGCTTACATTTACAAAATCTGAAAGCCTATTATTATGCAGAGTGCCTTCACTTCAATTTCAATTTCACCCCCCCCCATATATTTTTAAAAACCACATGCTCAAAGTATTTAACAATCTGCAACAAGGAAACTAAAAATAAATTATTTTATATAGTAAGTAGAAAAAATAAGCTTCAGTTTCAAAATCCAACCAGTTTTATCATAAAACATTTTTTTTTCATAGCAAAGCAAAGCAACATGCAAGGTAAATAAGTTATAAGTTGCGATTTTCATTTTTGTGGCTAACAGGCAGTAATCTAATATCATGCTTCTGTGTAGAAACTGATTTGTAAATTTAAACCTCTCGCGTGTCTTAAAAGCCATGCATGCCGTTGTACTTCCTTGGGTTCTCCAATGGATACAGGAAACCAGGCTTGCCAGAGGCAGTAGCATGGCCAGTTTTATTTCATAAATTCTCTCTTATGTGGTGAACGCTGACAAAATGCATTGGTCTTTAAGTAGCCACCATACCTGGCTAGCGCAGCTCAGTCCAATTCATCAGCTGTGCTTCTACAAATTAGGATGAAGGAAAAATGCTGGCTTTCCCTGTTCGGGAATAGTTATTACTATTTCTCTGAATTAATATTGCCTTAAAGTTAAAGAAAAACACTCCTTCCCCAGTCCTGAGATCTCCACAATAGAGCTGTCAGTGATTTTTTCTAGAAAAAATGATCATGTAGTTACTAGGACATGGTAAAGGAGCAGCTTCCACTTGTTCCTTTTCGTAGGGTTCCAGACACAACGACATCTCTCCTTGCCCCGAGTTTCTATATTTACCAGTAGTTATGTATCAGTCCTGCTTATTTAGTGATTAAAAAAAAAAAATCAAAACTCAATTTGAATCTTGACTCTAAACAGCACATCCACAACTGAAGACTCCTATTCAGGAAGTTCTTAGAGCGGATCTATTAGAATGAGTGCATTATTGAAAATGTTGGCCTTCAATAATAATACATCTTTAAATCCTTTAATCTTTACACATAAAAGAAGTAAAGTGGGTGTGACAAGCAGAGAGGGGAAATAGCTATCAACTGACTGGGTTACAAAACCTCAGGACTGAAGGACACTGTGAAAGAGGTGTGTGTGCTGTGGGGCAGAGGGGCGGGGAGGATGCTTCCAAGTCCTGGGAGGTTCTGGACTGGGGCTCCCTAAAGTGGGGTATGGAGGTCGGTGCGGGAAGTCACCCCACTGGGCACCGCAGCTGCCCGGGCCAGCCTCGCCATTGCCTTGGCTCGCAATAGGCAGAACTGTACCTGACTCACGGATATGGGCTCCTCGGCACCGCGTTCGTCCGCGGACTTGGGCACCTCCAAGCGGTCGATGAAGGTCTGCAGCTCCTTCCGGAAGGCCTTCATCTGCGCGTTGATGCGGTAGAGCAGCTCGTGCTCGCGGATGCGGCTGCCGTCGTCTTCCTCGTCCATTAGTCCGAACAGGTCCCCGTTGGCCACGTAGATGCGCGCCTCGGTGATGATGGTGCTCGTGTCAGCGATGAGCCGGTCGATGGTCTTGCCCAGGCGCTCGGCCTCCGAGCGGATGTCCTTCATCTGCTGCCTGTCGGAGAAGCTCTTGGGCCAGGGCCCGGGCGCGGGGTAGAAGGAGCGGGTGGGCGTGAGGCAGCGGATGTTGCGCACCTCCTCCGAGTCGCTCTCGCCGCCGATGGGCCCTTCGCGCTTGCGGTGTGGCGGCCGCGAGTCGTCATCGCTCTCCTTCTTGCCCGCATCGCTCTCTGCATCACTGTCGCGGGGGCTGCCACGGATGCCCAGATGCGAGGCCAGGTCATAGCGCTGCATGTTGGACATGAGCACACGGTTCTCGTACTGCAGCTGCATGACCTTGCCGCTCAGCTCGTTGATCTGCAGGCGTGCAGCCTTCAGCTCCTCCTGCAGGGCCTCGGTTTTGGCACTGTCATGGTGCCGCGCGCTGTCGTGGCTGCCTGACTTGTACTTATACTTGTTCAGCTCCGCGGTGATGCGCTTGTTCTGCTCCTCCAGGTCCGCGACGTTCCTCCGCAGCAGCTCGGTCTCGTCCTCCACCAGCTGCAGATGCTGCCGCAGTTCCGACAGGGATTCGCTCTGCTCCCTCATGAGGGGGTTGGCAGACCCGTTGAAGTCATCGCCCCTCAGGTCGTCCAGTTCTGCCTTCAGACCTCGGTTCTCCACCTCTAGTTCCACGATTTTCCTGCCCAAGATGTTGGCTTCTTCCTCCACTAGCCTCAGCCTTAGCTTGAGCTCCGCCTCTCTAGTGCTGGGAGGCCCCCCGGCTTCTCCTTTGGGCAAAGGACTGTCTAGATCTCCATAAAAGGATCTGTACTTCTGTAGCTCGTGTTCGAATCTGTCCTTTTCTTTGTCGATCTTAGCCATTTTCTTTCTCATTAAAGCAGCTTCTTCTTTCACAAACTGCAGCTGGCATTTCAGATCTTCATTGTCCTCCTCATTTGGGAAAAAGAGGAGAAAATGGTAGGAGATCATTATTATGTAAATCAAGAAACCAACCCTAAAACAAGGGCATCTGCAAAAGTAATTCATTTCCCAGCAATTAAGATTTAGTGAGAGGAGAGAGAGGCTAGAGAGGTGGGAAGGGTGGAGGGAGAGGTAGAGGGGGAGAGATTTAAGAAACTTAAAGCTCAGAATAATATTATACCCTACACATTGTCTTTGGCTATCATTCAACCATGTATTGTTGTTTTTTAATATGGTTGGAAGTCCCCCGTATATCAATATAAAACTCATTTCCTGAATGCAAACTAGTACAACCACTATGGAAAACCGTTTGGAGGTTCCTCAAACTGCTAAAAATGGAGCTTCCCTATGACCCAGCAATCCCACTCCTAGGTATCTACCTCAAAGACTCAAAAACACTGATTCAAAAAGACACTCCCATGTTTATTGCTACTTTGCTTACAATTGGAAGACATGGAAACAACCCAAATGCCCAAAAGAAGATGACTGGATTAAAAAGATGTGGTACATATAGACAATGGAATATTATTCAGCAATCAAAAAATAAACACGTGCCTTTTGCAGCAACATGAATGGAGCTGGAAAAGAGCATGCTTAGAGAAATAAGCCAGAAAGAAAAGGAAAAACACCGGATGGTTTCACTCATAGCAGGAGTATAATGGACTGGGCAAGAAAATAACAATAACAATGAAGAGCTATATACCAGAGATATTTTATGGGATGGAGTGAGGAATGGGATCGAAAACAGTGGGGGGACGGAAATGCCCTGGACTGTGGTGATGGCACATGGATGATTTGGTGATGGTAAACCCTCAGGGATTACAACCTAGATGGGAAAAGGCACAAAATGATGTAAAAACAAACTATTATATTAATTTAAAAAAATTCCCTAGAAGGAGCAAGTGGTCAATATACTGCTTTTTATTGAGAACTTAGTTCTGTGACATTCTTAACACATATGACTTTAATATTCAACATAAACTTTTCATTAAGTATTAAGTGCTTGATTTAAAGATGTTTGCTAAATTGTTCAGGTTACTGAGTTAAAAAGTGACCGGGGGGCCCTCCCTGGTGGCACAGCAGGTTAAAGCACAGCACTAAGAAGCTCCCTGGCCTGGGAGGTGACGCACATGGTGCAGCAAACCTCTCATGGTCCACCTACTGCTCCCCTCAGCAGTGTAATTTGTTGATCTGCCTGTTCTGCTCCCCACTCTGTCTCTGGTTAATCTCCTCACTGCACCTGCACCTCTGGCCTGTACCCTACTTCTGTGTGCATTTAAAAAAAAAAAAAAGAATCTCATTATTAGTTGATTTTCAACAAAGGATTTTCAATAACATTGAAAAACATTATTTTGTATAAGAATGTTTCTTCCAGTAAATAGTACTAGAACTGCTTTATACCCATAAAAATGCTGTTATCTTTATATCCATAAAAATATTGTATCTATCTGTCTGTCTATCTATACACACACACATATATATATATTTGTTTATATTTACATGTTTTATATATATATATTTACATGTTTTATATATATAGGTAAATTGAAGATGACTCACAGGCTTAAGTATTAAAGCTAAAATTATGTTTGTAGAATAAAACATGTGATATAAATGGAGCTGGCAACATTTCCTAAAAAGGGCATAGAATGCAGCTCTATAGATGAAAAATGCTAAGCTGTACTGCAATAACAAAAAGTCCTAGTTCTCATATCAAAAAAAAACTTTTTTAGAAAATGAATATATAAACTCTACAGAGAAAATATTCACTATGTATATGTATGCATAAAGAATATATTTAAAATATTACAACTCAAAAGTAAAAAATAAAAAAAAAAGTTAAGTTTTCAAGAAACACTTTAAGAAAGGTGACAGAGAAAGGGACAAATATTCAAAATACACTGGAAAACTATTCAACCTCATTGCTCACCAGGGAGATTTAAATTAAAACAACAGTGGGATATTATTATAGGCCTGTCAGAATGTATAATTACAAAAACACCTATAACAACCAGATGTTAGCAAGAATGTAGAACATCCAAGGGAGGTATAAAAAGGCATGAAATATGTGACAGCTATCTTAGCAATTTCTAATAACATTATACGTTCATCTCAAAATAAACCAAGAAATTAAGTAAAAAAATGGAATAGAAATGCCTTCCTTCCCCAATACTGCATGCATTAGCTGTGTTCAGGTAAAAAGTGTAGCTTGCACTGCTGGTGAAGATGAGAAGAATGAGCTTCTTGCCAGATATTCAGAAAACATGACCCAGAGGCTCCTGGTGGTCTAGGGTTAAGTCTCTGTGTTCAGTTTTCTAAGGCCTGAGTTCCATCCTCAGCCAGGGAGCTGATCTACATAGTGCAGCAGACCTCTCCTGTCTCACTCACTGTTACATGTTTTAGTGAATCTGACTGTTGTGTTCCCCACTGTGTCTCTGTTGCGTCCTCTCACTCCCCCACACCTCTGGTCTACATCTCAGCTCTTTTATGCACAAATAATTATGATTTTTAAAAGGAAACAATGTTTGAATAGAAAGGTGACCAATATGCTTTTTTACCTGGGCTAGGTTTTGTTGGAAAGTAAGGATAAGTGAGATTGAGAAACTAGGTTGGGCTATAGGAATGACAGCAGGCCTAGATCACAAGATAGGGCTTTCGTTTGCTAAGGAAAAAAAAAAAAATTGGCATAATACTGCAGTTTAAGTCTAACTGAAACAGCAGTGGGTGTGATATAAATCACAGATTGGTGCTCATAACACTTCACTAGGCTATGTTGAGCAAATATAAAATGAAAGAGTACCATATTGATATGTATGTAAGCACTCCTGCCCAAAGGAATGAAGACATAACAATTTTTTTAAGACATCGACATATACTTCCTATAGCAAAGTCATTATTAGGGGGGTGTAATGGGTCTGATACTCATTTTATATATTTAAAAAAAATTTCCAACATAATTAGTGTGATAGTTTGGGCAATGCTAATAGTTTAACAACCTTGTATGCCAATGTACTTATATCCTCTCATTCTGTAACTTAACTATTGTAATTTACATTTGGAGTGTGGAAACATTAAAGCAGAAATTGTATGGAAAGGTCATGGTCTATGGTAACTGAATTGTAAACATTTGCTGTAGTTTTCCTCAGTGGATTAGAAAAAATAAATGTTCTGAGATATGAAGCAAGTTGCCTCTTATGTTTGTGTCTATTAAATACTTTTAATAACTGACAAATGACATAAAGATGATGCAGGGTCAAAAGAAGTGAGCTGAGGCCGGTTTTGATTGAAATAGTCACCATTAGGAGTTAAACTGCCCTTTAAAATGCAATCAATCTATACAACATCTTTCTGTTAGTTTCTTAATTTATAGGTGAGTAAAAGAAGCCTAGAAAGAATGACTTAATATGGTAATATGTCTGCCACATGGCAGAGATTTCCACCTAAGCCACCTGGCACTAAAACCAGTATTCTTTGTTGCTATATAATGTCATTTCTAGGCTGTTGGGGCAACATGTAAGGAATACAGCAAAGAACTTGGAAAAAATATTGACAGTGAAATAGAAAGCTATAAAAGTATAGTAGGTTGAACAGTGTGAAACTGCCACTCCACAGGTCAGCATCAACCGCATGTTGACAATTTGCTCAGAGACCATAGAGTATTAGATTGTGTGTGTTCAACATGTGCAGAGCTGCAGACACCAGGCACTGATGGGTCACTGCTGATAACACAGCCCTTGCCTATAAAATGTCCTGATGAAGAAGAGGAGATGAATACTTAAGTATTATAATAGCACAGGAAGCTTGCAGGAATTCAAGCATGTGAATCAATAGCACTGAACTTTTGACTCAGCAACAGAATCATGAACTGTTCTGTAACTGAGACCTCCCAAAACGCTTCCAATCATTCTCCTAGAGTGAGTTTTTTTGGGGGGAAAATCATGTAATAAGCTTTGAAAATGATAGAACTGGAAATGATAGCAGGGACTTCACAGTATACAACAGCATATAAATGCCTAGGACATTTGTGTCCTTGAAATAAAAACTAGGGGGTTGGAATGTAGTTTGACTGTTGTAAAATCCCAGGTTCCACTGACAAATTGGGAAAACTGTGGATATATTTTGCTAAAGGAGGCTCGAGGCACATGGAGTGGTGGAAAGGTCTGCAGAGCTGGGAACAAACAACTCAAAATTCCTGGGTTATAGAACATTGCTGAAAAAAATAAAATTGGGCATGAAAAGCATGACAATAGGGCAAATATGAATTTTTAAAAATAACCTGATGTTTAAAAACATGAATTTTTAAAAATAACATGACTTAAGATTTTAGGAAGGAGCATGTGGCATCTTCTCCCTAAATAAGGGAGGGAAGAGACTTGATGGCAGCGTGTGAAATGAGTCTCAGCAAAATATTTCATGGGGAGGCTAAAATTATGGCAAAGACCTGCAGGGAAGCTGCAGTGAGAGAGCAAATTCGAACTTGTTAAGGAAATGGAGAGAAAGGTACAAAATAGGACTAATGATCTTGGTATGGGACTCTCTGGAATTCTAGAAAATGCTAAGGTCTATAAATACTCTTTGTAAACACCAGGAGAAAAATAAACCAAGAACAAAGCAGGAAGAAAGAAGAAAAGGGGAAATAAAATTTAATGTTACACTTTAAAATGATGATTAAAATCAACTCTTTTCTAATTTTGAATATTTAAATATTGCTTTAAACTTCTTATCTAACGAGAATTCTACACCTAGTAGAATTTTTTAAAGTATGCTTTTATACCACTGATTCCAACAAACACATTTAAGTCATTATGGAGTCAGTGTCACTTCTGCTTCCAAATACTTTTTTTTATTCTCTCCCGACCCCAATTCCAAGTAATTCTTCTTAAAAAAATCCTATTTCAGGCCCTCCCTGGTAGTGCAGCAGATTAAAGCACAGCACTAAAGCTAAAGCCACTTCCGCATGAGTTCGATTCCTGCCTGCCCCGGAGGTGATCCACATGTCCTGACAGACCGCTCCTGACCTGCCCGCTGCTCCCCTCAACAGTGTACTTAGTCGATCTGCCTGTCCTGCTCCCCACTCTGTCCCTCGTGAAGCCTCTCGCTGCCTTGAGCCTCTGGACTGTACCCAGTTCTGTATGCACAAATAAATAAATCTTTAAAAAAAAAATCCTATTTCACCCACCAACACCTTCTATTCACCCTGAAAGCAGAGCTAGTCTTTCCTGGGCTGAATTTCTAAGGTTCTTAACAAGTCCATATTGAATGCATCTGTTAAAATTTATTTCATATGCATTCCACTTATTTCCTTTTTCTGCTTCTTCACTCTCTGATATAGGGAATCACATCACTGTAGGATTCTGTAAATTATGTGCCTTTTTCCTCTCTCCATTATCCTTTCATCCATCATTCATTTCTTCACTCTTCCCTGATAGTATAGGAATAGCCATTCTGTTAATTGTATTAATTATAAATGAATAGGATTAATAGCATCAATACAGTTCTCAAACATAGTAACATCTAAAATACTAATGACTTTTTGTTGCATGCTTACAATATCAAAGCAGCTATAACAGGGATGTTAGTACTGGCTTCATAAGCAAATATATTGACTGCTTTGAATTGCCTGTATCTGAGCTACATAATTGATATGAACAATTTAACTTTGTTTGATATTAGTATATCTGGCTATTTAGTCTACTTATATGTACAGTTCATTATTATATACATTTAGAAGTACATGATGTACTATTTGAAATTCCATTTCCACATACCTCTGTGGGAGTCTGTTGAGCCTTTTTTTCAGATTTTGGCAAATCTTTGCTTCCTCTTCTTTTTAAGGATAGCTGAAACAAAACATGAATATATTTAGACTGGTAAACAGTAAGTGGAATTGAATTGTATATTTTCAAGTATCTAAGTATCTGTATTTCATTTGACAAAAATCAAGTCAAATGCAAAGTGTTAGTTCAATAAAGGAAGAAAACAACCCAAACAACCCAAACAAGATAAATATATACTTTTTTTTTAAAACTTTGGACAGGGATACATATTAGAGTGGACAAGTAGCTGGCAATTATCTAATTAACCGAAGAAACATAAGAAAGAATGCTAGTGTGAAAATGCAAAAAAAAAAAAAAGAAAGAAAGAAAAAGAAAAGACCCAACCTGGACACAATTTAGATAGCTGACTCAATATATTCTTTATATTTCAAATGAGAAAATCCTCGTTAGCATTCTGTCACTACAGAAAAAAAAAGGACCAATAGTATTTCCACTGTTGGATTCAGGGTGCTATAAATTTGTACAGACAAAATGCCATGGGATTGATATAAAATTTAAAGAACCGTCTTCCTTCTTCACCACACATCTACACAAGCACAAGCAACACACACACAAACACTACAATAGGAATGGTAGATGATAGTGAAATGTAGACAGCGTGTGTAATCCAAAGGAGCGGGCTGAGTGGCATTTAGGCCCAGCTATTCATTTGCATTTTCAGTACAAAAATGTGGCTTTTGTCAAGAGAAGTTGGGGATCTGGATTGCTATAATAAACCTCCCACATTTTATCCACTGGCTCTAGTTAAAATCCAAACACTCTACAATTAAGAGTACATACTTTGTGCCATATCATTTCATAGACCAGCAGTGTATCACGTTTAGTGCTCAGCTCTTTATCTTAGCACTAATCTAATAAGAAAGTTATTTTTATGTAGATAATAATCCATATATATGAATATCTACCACATACCAGATAATGAGTTAGAGACTCAAAGGTCAGTTAGATAGCCCAGAGGCCACTAGGAAGCTCACAGCTTAGCAATGGGATACAGGGAAGCAAACAATCACAGGGCAAGTTGGTAAATGCCAGGCTTGTGGTTCTGTGGAGCAGGGCCTTTGCTTCAGTGTCATCACCACCATGAGATTAATACTTGCCACAAGGCAGATGGTGGAAAAATATTCACTGAACTAAAGAGTGAATAGAAAATATGAGGCTCTGAAGTCAAGAGGATGATGAAGGTACAGATCATTGCCAGAACAAACAGGAAAGGCTAGTTTAAGAGAAGCCTTCAAGAATTTGCAAAGAACTGCAAATTAAATTCATCACATGTTGATTTCTAGCCCATATCCAGTGTTAAGTGAACGCATATGCTCAGGCACAGAAGGCAGAAAATACAACCACTTTCATTCGGTTTGAAACAGTAGTCCATGTGGTTATTTATTTCTAGTTTCTTTAAAGAAAAACACTCTATGTTGTTTCGATCTTCTTAGGAAAAAAAAAAAAAAGCTGTGGGAATTGATTCACCATAACCACAAGTGATTTAGGAATCAACCAGTAAAAACAGTCCCAAGAAAATCAAGATGAGAAGGAGCTGAACTAATGTATCTTGGAATATTCTATGGAGAGGTTCCCTGCACAGAAACACCTGAATTCATTTTATCAAGCATTTACTTGATAAAATTATTTTACTTTGAAATGGTTCCATTAGATGTTTATTTAGTACTTACTAAAGTACTTCATAAGGTATCTTTGATATCATACCTTGTCTCTGCTCTCTATGGGGTTTTACCTTGGTAAATCATGTGTTCACTTTGTAACATAATACAGTGATGAAAGCAATGATATAAAAACTATATTAACTTGCATTGTTTATTGATTCATATCACACACTTCATATTTATCTCAACTAATTCTTATTCTCCTCCCCCTTCTTGCTTCACATTACAGAGTAAAGCTAAGGTTTGGAGAACTTCACTCCATTTTTTTAAGCAGAGGTTCCCAAAGTAATTACCCAGAACACCATGAGTGTCACTTGGTGACTTGTGAGAGATGCAGTTTCTCAGTACCCATCCCAGGAGTATTGAGTCAGCAACTCTGGAGTAGGGCCCAGAGAGTATGGTTAACAAGCTCTCCAGATGATGCTGATGTGTGCTAAAGTTTGAGAAGTACAGATACAAAGTAGAATCTAGCCATGTCCTGATCTTATCTATTGAATCTCAAAGGAGACAGACTTAGTCCAGCTAAGGACTGGAAATGGTGTAGAAGCTGGGGATGATTTCCAAAAAGAAGCAACATTTTATCGTGAATCTTTTAGATGAGAAGTGAGGCAGTCAATGGAGAGAAGAGGGAGGGAAGAACAAAATCATCCACATAGAAAGATCGTTTGTGGAATGCAAAGAAATTTGGTGGGTTGTAACAGTGTGAAGAGTGATGCGTGAGTTGCTGATATAATCTTCAGGAACACTGAATAAAGCTTGGATTTTATCTCATTTATCTCAAGACAATTTTACCAAATTGTCTTTCGAAGGCCAAAAAGGAATATTAAAGGGATTTTAGCAAGATACTGTCCATAATCAGACTGTAGTAGAAGAAATACAGAGTCACAAAAGTAGCAATTCAAATGGCCATGAGGTAAAGAGGTGACATGCAAGAAAAATGTTTTAGTTCTGAGCATTTTTAATTTTTCTTTTTCATCCATTTTATAGATATTTTTTGGGTTCTGGCATACTTATGAGACTGGGTGATATAAAATATGACTGGAAAATATTTTATTTGCCTCTCCCCCAAAAGGAATGAATTGTTAATGGTGATAAAAAGGATAATTAGCTGAAATAGTTGACAGGATTAACTAGGGATAGTAAATGAAAAACAAAAAAAGAACCCAGAAAATAAAGAAGCAGTATGACTCCAGATCTGGGAAAATCATCCAGGAGGGTGATATTGGAAGAATATGCAAAATAGCAGTAACAAAGACTTGGAGAAATGTATAATTTATAGTACACTGACTTCTGAGACAATGGGTGTAGTTTCTCTCTCTAGACATGCCTTAAGGATTGAGGTCAGCTTCTGGAGCTGAGGAATTTAGACTTTATCCTGTGGGCAATGTTAAAAGGAGCTTTCTAAATTAATATGAAAGAAATGCTGAAAGTAGGTCATTCTTCCCTAAGAGTTATTTTTCTATTTTATTTAAATATCACTCAACTGAGATGTCAAACTCAAAGAAAGTGCTGAAAAAAGGTTTCCCCTTGTATAAAATGTACTGCTTTTAAGGACACTCTAGGACTCTAAAAATCTTTAAATGTCACATTTAAATTTTCAATAACTGTTTAATCATCTCTTTGATATTCTAGTAAGTTTTTATTAATGCTCTTATTACATGGAAATAGCTGAGATCCATGGGTAGAAAAAACAGAAATAGTGTAAATCTAAATAGTCTCTTTCCTGTAGTAGGGAATAATTATCAGCACTTTCCCTATCTTCATCCAGTCCCACTTTCATCCACTAAATCTAGGAACCTGCATGAGGGAGTAATAGCTTGTGAGGCTAGAACTAAAGCCCAGATTTTTATCTTTGTTACCAAAGTAAGTACTTTCAGATATCCTCTTGATGAATATGTTGAAAACTTGTTCACGTCTTAATTCCTTGCATTCCCAGCCACAACTTGCCCCAAAAGGGTTGCTGTTCATTTTCTCCAGGTGAAGGCTAGGAATTACATAGTTTTGCCAAAAATCATGTTTGCAGAGAAACTATATAAAATGGATTGTTTGTGTTTCAGTATATTTCAGACTGCCTTCTTCCCTTAATTGAAATGTAGTCTACATAATATGTAGTTTCCTTAATGCTGAATTGTTTTACAGCTTTTAAACAACAGAGAAGAACCAGTCTCAAATATCATTGGAAGATGATATGATTTTTAAAGTCTCATGTTTGGACAAAATTAAAGAGATTCATCGTAATGTGATTAAATCAAGAAGGAAAGTAGAACTGTGTCATTATCTAGGATTTATTGGGCATTAAATGTGTGCCATACACATTTCTAAGCACTTAATGTGTATCCATTCATTTACTCTTATAACAGTCTTATGAGTTTGACACCATTACCTGAAGCACACAATAGATAAATCGCTCACGTAGTAAGTTTTAGAGCCAGGATATAAATTTTCCAGCTTCAGAGTTCTTGCTCCAACTGGCTGTATTACATTATTACTCCAAAGTAAGAAAAGAACAGGGTTATATAATTTTGAGCAAATCCTTTATGCTATTACACCATAGGTGCATGTGCTTGAAGCATTCATTCACACATATTTATGACACAAGAGCAATATGGTTTCATATTTCCAGCACAGGGATCAGCAAAAGTGACATGCAACTCAGTAGTGTTCATAGACATCCTATAAATGCTCATGACTTTGGGGCAGTGTTGGGAGAGAGGCATAAAGATTTCTGACTAAAGACAGAAAGGAAACTGAAAGATACAGGAAATCTGCTGAATGTGCTGAATGGTTGTATCTCCCCAAATTCATATGCTGAAATCCTAAAGCCCAATGGATTGATATTAGAAGGTGGGAGGTGACACAAGCTATGGAACTTCTATCGACTGGAAAATTCTGGATAGAAAAGGAAAAGCTCTGAAAAATCAGAATTTCCATGCTAGCTCATGTTATGACCCCCTTTTTTGTAATATCAAAATATTCTGAGCAACCATCAGCTTGCAACCAGATTACCTTAGCCTCCTAAGCGCAACCTGGCCCAGGAAAGCAAGCACTACCCCAGGGCGGGAAATTCTTCTTAAAGTCAAAAATATTACAATGGGCTGATTAATAAAAGCAATTGGCTGTTATAGCAAAATCAATACTGTAAAATAGGACAGTACTAGAACATGTTAAAAATTACAAGTTCTTTAACTGCCCGGATGAGACTCTAAATCTTATCTACTAGCTTACTTGAGCTTTCTATTGCTTAGTCTTTAAATGAGGAATCTTACTATCTCCTTAAGTCATTTACCTACAAGAAAACTTCACCCTAATCTTCGACTTTACCCCCTTTTACAACTTCACCTT